ACGCTGTTTCTTCATAAAGTGACCGACATCGAAAACGTAATTCCCTGGCTGGGAGAGACGGTACAGGAGTTTTCTGACATGTTTACAGATATCAAAACCATCGTTACCAACAATGTCTGGTTTTTTTTGGCAGGGGAGGGCGTTCATGGCAAATAATTTGGGATTGAATCAAATGAAATCACTCGTTTTTGCCTTTAAGGATATATAATCCACCCCACACTACCACGGTTACACACACACACGACGAGGTGATTTGGGACCAGTTGCTTTACAAACCCAGTTGTCACCTCTTGTTATAGTTGCACCTTGACCCCAAGGACGTACCCTCCCGCAGGACAGCGGCCAGCATCCTGCCGGCTTCTCTCTGAGGTCGCCTCCACGTCGTTAGCTACCCGCCGCACGGATGCTCAAGAGAGTCCCCACTTCGTAGTTTCAGAAAGAACCTAGTGCTCCCCGAGATGGGAACGGGGGTGTCCCGGGGTAAGGGTGCAGGTTGAGCAGGTTATGCCCAGTCCCAACCTCTTCCTCCTCCTGCGGCTGAGCTGAGGGACTGAAGGGGACCGGCTGGAGGCTCTGGGGGTGTGGACGGAGGCTGAGGCTCTGTCCTGCATCCGGGCCCCTATCTGGCCTCTCCACATGCCCAGCTGCTTCTCCCAGTGCAGACCCCTTATGATGCCACTGCATGCCCCCTTCCTCCCTGCCACTTCCCTGGCAGGGATAAAAACGGAAACGGGGCCCAGAAAAGGACTCAAGAGGGTGAGTTTCCCAACTGGGTTCTGCGAAGAATTGTTTTTTCTATAAAATCGGTGTCGCACACAAACGCACTTAACATCCCCCACAGCGAAGGTATATTCCTGCTAACTTCCCGTCACCACCACGGCAGGGGGCTGGGGCAGTGGCCACCCCATAATCTCACGCCAGAGAACCCTGAGGTCCAGGGCGTAGCTCATGAGTCTCTCACTCTACCCTCACCTCCAGGAAGGAAGTGATCACTTGAAAGGCCTCGCCGTGTGACGTCAGCGTGTACGTGGTGGCCCTCTCTGAGAAACAGTTCAAGGGGTTCCGCCGAGAAACTGCTACATCCAAGCGGGGACGGTGGTGCTCACATGAGGGGACAGCAGTACCTCCCGCCCACGGGAGCGAAGGGACAGTGAAGACCCCGAGACGTGAGAGCCACAGTTAGACCCAACGGTTGGAACCGCAACTCGCTGCTCAGCAGCGTAAAGCCACCTCCTAACGAAACTAATGCTTTTTAAATAATTAACACAGAGGTCAGACATTAGATAAAACACCAGTATCTCTGAGACTCCTTGCCTCTTATTCAAGTTTTAACCATTTATGGAGTGACTGCAAAGTCTACCGACCCAGAGTAATTTGTTTTTTAATTTTTAATAACTGGTTTTGTTTTGCTTGTTATAAAAATAACGTATGAACATCGCAGAAAATTTGGAAAACAAAGCAAGTTTTAAAAGCTAATTAAAATCACCCTTGAGCCCACCACCCAAAAGATATACCCTATACATACTGTATTACTTCCTTCCAGTCTTTTTTCCATGGACCTGTAAGTGTGGTACACATGTGCTCACGTGCTTTATTGGTTTACTTTGACGTATCATAAATTTGCTGAGGCCCGAAATTTCGATCCCGCCCCTGGGAGGGTCCATTCAACGGGAAGACTCGGGTCAGAGAAGAAGTCCAGCTCGGCCACCAAGAGTTTGCCCCTCGGCAGAGCCTTGTTTCCTCGTCATGTCATGCACAGGGACACCATGAAGTCACACCTGACTGGGTTTTATGGCAGAAATCACATGCAACTGTGGTGTTTGGGTGTTGGCGAAGGTCTCAGAACACACCCCTAGCAGATGCCAAGGGTCGAAGGTACTTTGGTTGTTTTTTCTACTTGGATCGCCGGGCTATTCTTTTTCATTCATATCGCAGTAATATGGGAGCACATAGGTACCTCATAAATCCTCTGTGCTATTTGCCATAAAGAGCGAGTGTCTAAGCACCAAACTGTATAAACACAGCTGGTAGGCAGTAAAAGTATTTAGATAACTAGCGTGTATATTTTGTTCTTTCATATTCCATCCTGTAAGAGTACCTAGGACACAGTAAATGTTTAATGAAAGGTGACTATTATTAACTGTGACACTGATATAATCTCTACAGACCCGAAAGAAAGTGCCACCAATATCATGGAAAATTACTAAATTATATTATGTGAAACTGTTGTTGAGAGGAAAAAAACCTCTGAACTCCCTCATAGTTCAGGGTGTCTGCTCCCCGGGTCAGCCCAGCTCAGCAGCGACACCATGTGGTGGGAGATCTTTTGATTCTCAACAGCACAGGGATTTTCACAGGAAGCAGGAAGCAGAGAGCCAGGGCGGGCGTCTATATAAGGCAGGTGAGGAATCTAAGGGTGGACCGTGTACGACATAACAGGTGCTACGATGTCGAATCCTCTCCGTGTAACTTAATTCCATGCGGATCGATGAGAAGGCTGCAGGAAAGAAAAGCCAATGGGAAGGACTCTCGTCCCAATCTATCATCCATATCTATGAGTACTGACCCGCCAGCACAGTGACTAGAAGCATTCCAATGTCTCTGCCTTGGCACGGGAGAAGCACAGGAGTCACCCAGCACGGGCCTGCAGAAAGCCCATCCCACGTGCTGAGTGGCTGCTTCACATCATTTGCATGACAATCCTTTAGAGACCGTGTACTCCAGGAAAACAAATTCTAAAACCCTAAATTCTTACATTTTCTTCTAGAGCAGAGTCGAGGTGTTCTAAGAGGAGGAAATAAACATTTAGAAATGGGGATATACACGACACTCACTCACTCAGTTCCCTGGGCTCCCAAAATGAAACAGAATTCAGAGAGGAGCAGTTGGGAGGAAAAAGCAGTCCACGACAGCGATGTCCAAGATCAGCCAGACCAGACGAAGGACCCAAAAAGAGAATGTTGCTGAAAATTCCTCTTTTCCAAAGTTACTATGGAATAAGAGGCTTGGCAGGCTTGGAGTCTCCGTGGACTAGCTGTGCATGTGTATACAGAACAAATATTTGCTTTCATCTTTTCGAGCATTTCATTCTCATGGCTTGTGAATAGGGGTTAACAATCAACCGGGAGAAATGTATCTCCCGCCCCAGGCAGTTTAAAGAACCCGAAGAACAAAACTATGAAGCATCGACTGCATATTTTTACATCAGCAGACACACAATGCAAGGCCTTAGGTATTTCAGGTTACGCCCACCCTAAAGGAGACACGGGAAGAGACTAGAGTTCCAAACTTCTGCTCACAGGAGTGTAGGGTCACCCTCTCTTCTCCGCTGCCACAAGTGAGTCATGAGGTGCAAGTCCCAAGACCAGCATGGTCAGAACTACAGGAAAGGTCAAGGAGCATGATCAAGGGCAAGCCTGGGTCTATCTTGCTCCTTGACCATGGAGCAGGCAGGCACCTCCTCACGCGTCCAGCCTTAGCCCTCCCAGCTCAGGAAAGGAGGGAGAGAGAAGGTCTATGAGAGTGACAGTCACATCTCCGCCGGGGACAAATAACCCTTACCTACATGCCTCTGCCGCATCCTTCTGTGGCGGGAGGTCTGGAGGTGGGTCACCAATAAGAGTTGAAGGTCTGAGGACCAGATTTATTCTGATACTTTTTTTATAAGTCACCAGACAGAGGTGATGCTTCTCCTTCTATTTAACTAAACATATGAAGCACATAAAGGATGTGGAGCTTTGATTTCCTGAGATGAAGGTGCAAACAAAAGTCATACCATTTATTCTAAAAAGCACCCATCAAAAAGCGTGCCAACTGGCTAAACACTATGTAATGAAAATGCAGCAAAAGAATGTTTCTTAAATGGAAAAAAGCATCCACTGCTTTAGTATCAATTTTTAAAATTAAAAACATTACCTGTCGTGCTTGTTAGAAACATCAGACACCTGTAACTTGTTCATCTTCCCAACGATCTAATATTAATAATTGTACTATCTATCTGTTAAACAATACAATTTACAAAGAACTTTCACGTATATTATTTCATCTAGTCCTCAAATCATCCTATGAAATATCTTAATCCTAAATGCTCCGGATTTTTAATGTGTCTTCCTCAAGTGAGCACAGCCCACCCAGAGGGCTGGCTCACTGCTCTGCACAGTGAGTTTGCCATGGGACAGAGAATAACCCAAGGGAGAGTCCCGCCTCCTGTAAAAATGTTGGGGAAGAGGTATACTGTGTTCTCGTCGAGGGAAAGCAGGTAAGTTTGGTGTTTAGAATCACCTGGACTACTAGGTATTTGCTGAATCCTCACAGTTATGTCCCTAAACTCACCAATTTCCCTATTTAGAGGCGACAACAGTAATAAACCCACAAAATCACTTGCCACAATTAATAAGAAATTGACACTTTGACAAAGCAAAGAGATAACGAGAAGACACATGTGGAGAATCTGGCAACCTGCCCAAACCGAGTACGGACCACAGGCGTCAGATGCAGACACAACAGCAGGAAAAGGCCTGCATACATTCCCACCTCCGTGGCCATTTTCCTGCTAGACACAACTAAAAATGGGTCTGAAATCCGAGCCCCTTTGACCACAAGATGGCAGGCGTCAGCGCAAACGAAACAAAACTTGTGATTTTTCCCTTGCAAAGGTTCCCGGAGCCGGGCCCAATTCAAAACGAAGGTTTTCATTCCCAAATACACACGCCGTGGTTTCCGAACACACTCTGACACACAGAACGGTGAGGCTGGTCCCCCTGAAGCGGGCAGAGCCAGCACACAGACTTAACGCCTTCGAAACTCCAGCAGTCTTCCCTGCCTCCCTTCAAGCAAACACCGAAAACATGAGTTATCCTTGGCCGTCTTTAAGATTGTCCTGAAGTCAAAACAGAAAGAGAAAGCGAAGTCGAAACCCACTGCGACGGACGATGGAGACAGAGTGATTTTTTGGACGGGCCCCCGAGACGCTCCCTCCCCGGCCGAGCGCACACGCTCACCTCCGCTGCCCACAGCAAGTGAAGGGGCGTTAAGGCAGGAACCTGTTTCATGTCACAGCTCAGGCCGAGGGCGGTCAGGATGTCCCTGAGGACTTCGTATCTTCTCGTGTTGCTGGATTTGAGCAGATCGAAATCTTCTCGGCTCTGCACGACTGAAGAGCTGGGAGGTAGTTCTAAGTGCACCTGTCGGAAAAAAAGACACCACTTCGTAAACCGGGGGCACTTAGGGACGTTAAGAAAAACAGTGTCTTTACCCGTGTTTCCAAAAACTTGAACCAGAATCCTTCTAATTATCCACAGGATGTAACCTTTGAACCTGAATATTTGGAAAGTAATGCCAAGCAATAAAAGGATTCGAAAGAGCCTGTTAAAGTCACGACTGTCGGGAGAGGCTGTGGCGGAAGCAACCTGGACAGACCTTCCAGGTCTCAGCTCGTACCGCTAACCAGTCCCGGGATCTTGGACAAGTCACGTCACTTGGTGATACGACCGGAAAAAAAAAAACAAAAAAAAACACTTAGAAACACGGTCGTGCTGAGAAGCCAACTAAAGTCATCACTGAACTCAGGGAGACGCCGCAGGCCAGGCCTGAAGCTCCACTCTGCCTGTGAGTTGTGAGGAGCAGCCTTGTTCCCCATTTCAGGAATTCAGATAGATCAGGGGTCCTCAATACTCAGGCTGCGGACCTGTACTGGTCCATGGCCTGTTAGGAACCGGGCCCCACAGCAGGAGGTGAGCAGCGGGTGAAGGAACAAAGCTTCATCTGTATCTGCAGCCGCTCCCCAGCGCTGGCATCACCGCCTCAGCTCCGCCTCGGATCATCAGGAACTAGATTCTCACAGAAGCACCAGTCCCTGGCACCAAAAAGGCTGGGGACTACTGAAATAGATGAGTGGGTTTGGGGGGACTCCAGGAAGGCCCACTCCACCTCCTTCCTTCACCTGAATGAATTTTAAGATTAAGAACTTCATGTATTTTAGTTCGGGCTTCGTCATCCAGTGAAAATAAAAACAGCCCCACCTACCAATGAAAGGTCTATGCCTTGGTATGGAGGAAAACACCAGAACCCCTAGCTCTCAAGATCAGGTTTTAACTAAGCATTAGAGCCTGGAGGGGCCAGAATACTGAGAACTCAGGAAAGCAACCTGAGCGCGCTTGCTTGCTTTGTCTTGCTTTTGCAAGGGGACAGCTGTGGGTTTATGAAAACGCAAAGCCAGGTACCAGCTTTTGGGAATCTCTCAATTCCCACCGAAGCCTGAACCAAGCCAAAAATACTGTCCAAATGGTCCCATGGTTGACAGTGGAGGCCAGTCTGACGAGGTTGGCGGAGCAGTGTCCAACACGGCTCCACGCGACAGCGGGTCCCTGCCTCACCTGTGACTGCCCCCATCAGCCACAGCAGCAGGTGAGTGTCCTGGAGGAAGGAGCAGGCAGAAGAGGGAACTCTTTTCAGGAACGTGAGTCCTGAGTCTCTCCCCTACCGTGCGTTCTCACCCTACATATGTTTTCTCCTCCCCAGTGGGCAAAGCCAGGGCAGCTGTGGACAGCCAGCTCAGCTGCGGGGCATTTAACTTGAGCACGTGGCTATCCTGGAGATTACCCCTTACGGGTGGCAGAAATAACATGAGCGAGGCTCCACCCCCACTTGGGCCCCAGGGAGAGGGGACAAGCCTGACTAAATGGCACACGTCCTCCCCGGGATGAGTGAACACACAGATCCACGCAGCACGCACGGTGAGGTGTGCTGAACTCGCTGTCACGTGTGAGGTGCCGAGGAGGAAAAGGAGGGCTGGGCCTACGCGCAGGCCCCAGCATTCCAGGCGGGGCGGGAGGACAGCCACCCACCGACGCCGTGCGAGGTGCATCTGTGGCGTCTGTGGGCTGCAGGATGAGGCGAGAAGAGGCACCTCTGGCTCTGCACGGCAGGGCGCGTTCACGTGGGATCCGCACTCCTGGTGCTCTGGCCGGAATCCTGTGACCATAGCGATGGGCCCACGGCCGTAACTTGGCTTCTTCTAAAATGAAGGCTTTTTGAACAGACCAAAAGCCAGAGCTAAAAATGTCCCCAGTCACCAAAAGGGCAACAGAAGAAGGGGGTGCTCCTGGAATCTAGTGAGTAGTGCTGCCAACACCCCACAAGGCACAGGACGACCCCACAGCAAAGAAGGATTTGGCCCAGAATGTCGACAGTGCCGTGGCCAAGAAGCTCTACTATGAAAGCAGAACCACTTCTGCCACGTGCTAAGTTAAATTTTAAAAATTCTTTTTTTGTAGGGTATCAGATGAGGGCTAGACTTATCGGGGCGATCGCTTCGTAAGTTACATAAATGTCTAATCACTATGTTGTAAACCCGAAACTAATATTGTACATCAACTAGAATTGAAAAAAAAATTGTTTAAGTTTAGATAAAACTAACAGCCAATACTTAAAAAGTAAAAAAAAAATTGAATCCATTACTGCGATTTTATTTGGACAAGTTCATGGCAAACTTCCGGCCCAGTGATAATCCAACGTCAGCATTAATCCACAGCCTTAAATTTTCCCTGCAAACCTGATCAGTACGGCAAGTACTGTAAAACTTCCTCTTCCTTTATGATGATGGATGTCAAAGGCATCACTGCGCAGGCTGCGAGGCCACCACCTACCGTGCAGCTGTGGTTTGCCCTTGAAGTGCTGTGCCTCCTCTTACTGGGTTACATCATTACTCGATTTATTACAAAGATGAAGGCTATTTTTTGAAAGAGGAAACTAACCAGTCTGTGGTATTATTTATGGGTTGAGCTCGGCAGCGAGGTATCGTGGTGACACAGGCCCGAGGAGAAAGCAGTGACCCTGTCACTGAGACTGGAAGTCATTTAAAATCAAAAATGACTTTCTAATCCTCTGAATCTGATTTTTGAAGCTGCCTCATATTGCCTTTTTTTCTAGAGTAATGCATGCAGTATCGAATTTTATGACAGTAATGGGGTCGATTTAAATGGCGCAGCAAGCAGATTTGCTAGCGACTCAGAGAAACGGATCGCAACAGTGCCAAATCGATTTTCTAGTACAAGTCTGTACGCTGGGGTGGTAAAATTCACTATTTGAAACTGAAATACGGCCCGAGGAAGTTGGGTTTTTAAGTGGATTTTCTGAGAATGCATAGTTACTATAGTTACTGTATTTGCAGAAAGAAAATAAGTAAGAGGAACATTTATTAGGCCTCCAAAAACGAATTCACGTGGTTTGCAGCCCATAGAAAACCTGACTGTGCGGCTCATGTTCATCTGTCCTAATGTCTAGATTTCTTAATTCTTTGCATCTTTGGCTGAGTATTATCTTAAGAATAAATGAGTGGGAAAATGGAAAAGGAAAAAACCTAAACCCTTGAAGAATGTTTGGTTAGAAAACCCAAGAGACTCAGAAAGGCTGGAAAGACACACAACATAGAAAATGAAAACAAACGACAAAAAAAAAGGAAACTCTAACTCGATACAGCGATTCCTATAATAAAATCTGTGACACCCTGAGAACTACTCTGGGCCAAATATCTACGTCTCTTTACTCGTCTCATTAGATCATCAAATCCTTAAGGATGAGTATTCATCTAACGACTTTTCCTCGAAGGCATTGAAAAATTTGCAGTAAACGATCAGGAATTCTGAAATAGTCTCTCCTGCTACCGTTTCTTTAAACAAGCAAAAAGCTCAAAGGAAAGGGTAGGAAAAACTTCCGGCAGAGGAGCTCAAGGCCCCAAGGATGGGAAGGAAGTAAGCGGCCTTTCCCTCTCAGCCCCCGCTCCATTGCTTCCTACCTGCGCATTAATACACCGGAAATCTAAATTGCTTCAACATTCTCTTTTTCTAATTTTTTTCTCAGCACTTAGATATTAAGAGTGACAAATCATAAGAACAGAACTGAGGATTTGACGCTGTTTTCAGCACTCACTGCCCCCCTAGTTGGGAAGCATCCGTGAAAACCCCGACGTCAACTCTAAAACTTTAATGTTACAGTTACTAAAGTCTGTTCAAATACCTACGTTAAGTAAAGGTTCGATTATGTTAACCAGAGTGTGCTTTGAGTCAAGAGAGTGGACTAAGGCATTTTAGGAAGATTAATACCAGTACAGATCAAAACGAGAAAGAATTTTCTGACTAATCCTTGGTTAACCAGCCATCTTCTGCCCCGTTCCTCCGTCACCAGTATTCTAGTTAGCCAGAACATTCATGTGACAGGAAGGCCCTGATCTAAACCATCTACTCACCATCGTCAATAACTCCCAGCCAAAGGTCAAACACAGTGCAGATTCTCAATCCCTTCAATGTCAAGGGCATATTCCCCATCAAAGAGACCTCAGAGCATTACGTGGACATCACCTCCGTACCTGGCAAAGAACAGCTTCTCCTCCACATGTTCCAAAAGGCACTTGCACAATCAGCCTGTCCTTGTCCTCATTTTCCAGGCAGCCCTGGAGCTTGTCCATGCTGAGCCGCTCCCCGGGGCCCTCGTCGTAGATGCAGCCACTGCTCAGGATGCTGAGCTTCACCTGGCTCTGGTCAGCCCTGGAGAAAACCAAGTTCTGGACGGTGTCCCGCAGTGCGTCCTTGCTTCTCATGTGGAAGCCAGCAAACGTGAAGGGCGAAGACAGGCCCAACACCTTCCCTCCCTGAGAAAGATAGGCCATGAACTTCTGATGCAGGTCTTCGGGAACAGACTCCTTGTTGGCGATGACCAACAACAGACAGTTGTCTGACCAGGGGTCTCTGCGTGCACTCTCCCCCGGCAGCTGGTAGAGCGTGTAGCTATCAGTGTCCACGCAGTCGGCCAGAACAGACCGAACCTGCTGGAACCTGCCCAGGGCTTCCTGGGAGTCGGAGCCCACATAGATGAGGATGTTGGGTGCCTTTCGCATGGTGTTGACTCTCCTCCCTTCTCTCTCTGGGCAAGTGGCATCAGCTACACCCTCCAAACTGCTGCTGTGATCATAGGGAAGATCTGGAATGTTCTCTGCAGATGCAAACTTGACGGATTCGATAGTGCTGTTCTCAAGCTCCAAACACTCGTGGCAACTAGACAGATGGAGGTGACAGAGCTCGACAGAACCCAGCTCTCTGTCGTGCCCCGCAGCAGACTCGCTCCCGGAGGCACCGCCTCTTCCCGGGGTGGGCTCCGCACCGAGAACCGTGGGGTCTTCTTCGCCAGCGTGCTCCATAATGTCCGGCTCAGGCTTACCCTCAAAAGAAGCTTCGGGGCTCAGCTGCAGGATCCGGGCCGGCTTGTCTGTGGCCTGGTCCTTAAGTTCCTTCAGAGCCGAGTCCTGCAGGTGCACCGCTAAAGCAGGAGCGGAAAAGACACTCAATTGGTGATTCTCGTTTGTCACGCAGCTCAGTTCAAACCACGTAACTGCTCCCGCCCGCTAGGAGGGGGCCCCTGATGATCCCGAGTGGAATCTCAAGCCTCTGCAACATCTTTCCCATAAAAACTGGAGAAACCTCAGATACCCTTATCAACTGAAGAAAGAGAGATTCAGAAAGGTAATTCTGCCTACTTACTTACAGGTTCAGTTTCTTGGATGTCAATCTCCTATGTGATAATGAAACTAAGAAACAAAAAAGACATGCATAGCGAGTCCGTCTAAGTGCTCTCCGGGAAAAAGTCACTAGTGGGACATGACAGCATCAACCTGGGAGAAGGTCCTTCCGGTATCTTGTCTCAGGACTGGAATGTAAGTTTACAATCACCGATTCGAAACGTATTTACTGAGCAGCTGCTACACATCTGGCATGGTACCGGGCACATGCACATGGCAAATGGGGAAATTAAGTGATTTACACAGATTTCCAGAGCTGGTAAGCGACACTTAGTTGCTCAAGATACAAAGGAAGACTTCCACGGATATAGAAAGCCTGCTTTGAAGCCTATTCAGAAAGGACATTTTGCGTGATTCCTAAAAAAAAAAAATGTGTCCCAAAATATCGTCGTATGTATATTTCAAGTAAAAAACTGTTAGATTTAGAACTTCCTAGTAACACCGCCTAAGCTTTCCATTCACTCAAACCCTGGTCTAGAAACTAGTTATATCAGATTGGGAGAAATAAATATTATATGGGTTCTGATTTGCATGCTACCTCACAGACAATGCAATTACAGGAAACCCTTGTTTAAGAACTTTAAAAGCACTAACGATATACTCAGGGATAAGCACCTAAAAACAACAACAACAAAACGCATGTATGAATTTTATAGTTATGGTTAAAACCAACCTGTTGACTGAACTGAACTGAAAATAAGCATTGCCCTTAAGTCATAACGAATAGGAGTGTTCAAAAGTCCTTAATAACCCACGATGAAAACATTTTCTAAAGTTACTTACAGACGATCTTTTGGGGTATCAGTCCATTGGTCATCTGGAGTCTGTCTTCCATAAACGCCACCCCCAGCTTACTAAAGTTGTCCACACTCGCTTTGGCAATTAACTGATAAGGATCCCCAGGTCTGCAAGCTAATGGCAAACAATAGTCTGACCACTTCACGACCTAAGAAAAAGTGTATGAGAGAGGAGGAAGAAAAAGGTTAAGATTTTACTTCTCTAAAATAACCAGGTACTTTATTTTTCCCTCCAGCTCCCCACCACTACATTAGAGCCAAATATAATGAATTACTGAGCCCTGCATTTTTGACGTTAGTCAAAGCTAAGGCTTAAACATTCTCTTTTCTACCTGACAACAGGGCTTACACAGCACTAAATATAATCCTCTCATTTAAAAGCAATTGAAGTCTCGACTGATTTTTCAAGGAATTAAAAGGAGAAAGCATCGTTCCCCAGATACTGGAAAAATATAAACTTGCCCCTAGTAACATGTATAGGAGTAAACAACAAGTCCACATTATCCAGTAATGCACGATGCAGACCAGCTTCTCCCAAAGTGGGGTCCAAGGCCAACCACAGCAGCACTGTGCGGGAGCCGGAGAAAGCTTCAGGTCCCTGAGCGCTACTCTGTCTAGTGCTCCAGACTCTCTGGAGCTGCAGCCCAGGACCCAGAAGTTTTAAACATGCTTCCCACGGATTCCTGAAACAGGAGAAAAACTCTCAAGGACCCTCCAGAGAGCCCGTGCCAGTTCACATTCCCACCACGAGGGGTCAGGGGAAATGAGAGCAGACAGACAAAACTCAGTCCTTCGAGCTTTTGGTTTTTATATAAGAAGAATTTGAAACTGGGACAAAGAAAGGGGGAGCCCCCTGGGATTCAGAGCCTGGCTTTGGAGTCTGAGGACCTGGGTCTGGGTCAACGTCGACTCGTCGTCGTTGTGTGTCCTCAGGTAAGTCTCAGAACCTCTCAGGTCTCAGCTTCCTCATTCATAAAACAGGAATAATGATATTAGATATTATAAGTCTGGCTTTAAAAGCAATAATGAATATAGTGGTCCTTTTTTAAAGACACCATGAATAATTTCTCTACTTTCCAAAATTAATCTTCTCAGAGACCTACTGCCCCAAATTTCAGAATTAGAGATATGTAATTTTGAACTCTATTTTTTATATTAGTAGGATAGATTTTTAGAACTCTTGCTGAAAACAATGAAAAAATGCCGGATAAAATAAATAAAACATCATCCTAAAAGCACCGAAGAACTGACTATATAATGAAGAACTGCCAGGCCAAATGCTGGGGAAGTCCTGAACCCACAGAACTAAGGGGGTTTCCACAAGCCAGACCACTTCCGCCCAGCAGGTATGTGCTTGCCCAGGAAACCCGGCCTCAAAAGTCAAGGTCTAGTTGGCAGAAGCACAGACGTGTAGATTGATGGATCGGAACTGAGAGTATAGAAATAAACATATACATTCACAGACAATTGAATTTGAAGAAGGTTGACAAGACAATTCAATGGGGAAAGAATAATCTTTTCAACAAAAGGTGCTGGTGAAACTGTTATCTACACGCAGAGAATGAAAATGGACCTCTACCTCATACCACGTACGTCATACGAAAATTAACTCAATCTAGATCAAATTCTCAATATAACAGCTAAACCCACAAAACTCTTAGAAGAAAACATAGGCATATATCGTCAGATCTTGGATCAGACAATGGTTTCTCAGATAGGACTCCGAAAGTACAAAAGCAACAAAAGAAGAAATAGATAAATTGCACATCATCGAAATTTTCTGTGCTGCAGAAGACTCTTTAAAGAAAATGAAAAGGCAATAATCCACAAAGTGGGAGAAAGTATTTGCAAATCATGTATCTGAAAGACTTGTATCCACAATATATAAACAACTCCTACGACTCAACAATAAAGACAAATACCCGATTTAAAAATGGGCAAATGATCTGAACAGATAGTTCTCCAAAGAAAGCATGCAAGTGGCTATAAGAACTTGAAAAGATGCTCAACATCATTAGCCATCAGGGAAACACAAATCAAAACCACGAGATACTTCACCTCTACTAGGATGGCTATTGTTTAAAAGATGGACAACAGCCAGTGTTGCCAAGGATGCTGAGAAATCTGAGCCTTAATATGTCGCCGGTAGAAATGTACAACGGTGCAGACTCTGAAAAAGAGTTTGGCAGTTCCTCAAAAAGGTAAACATAGAGTTACCAAATGACCCGGCAGTTCCACTGCCAGGTAGACCCCGAAGAGACCTGAAAACATATGTCCACACACAAAACCTGCACACGAACGTTCACAGCAGAATTATCTGCAACATCCACAGAGTGGTAACAGCTCACACGCTCATCAACAGTCGAATGGATGAAATGTGTATATCCACACAATGCATTCGACCATGAAAAGGAATGAAGTACTGACACATGTTACGACGTAGATGCATCTTAAATACATCATGCTCAATGAAGGCAGCCAATAACTAAGGGTCACATATGATATGATCCTATGTTTAGGAACTATCCAAAACAGACAAATTTGTAGAGTTAGGAAGTAGATTAGTGGTGGTGACAGGCGGAATGGAGAGACTGACTGCTGAAGGGTACGCGGTTTCTTTTTAGGGCGATGAAAATGTTCTGGAATTAGATGGTTGTACTGAATTGTAACTGTACACTTTTAAAAGATGATGTTCATGGTATATGAATTATATCTCGATTTTTTTTTTTTAGGCAAGGCAACCCTTGGTTGACCTCATAGATTGCAAGGACCTTGTCAGCTTACCATTCCTTACTTTATTTTTTTAAATTATTTTTTACACCGACAGCACCTGGTCTTCCTAGGCAGTCTCCCATCCAAGGACTAATCAGGCTCGACCCTGCTTAGCTTCCGAGATCAGATGGGATCGGGTTTGTTCAGGGTGGCATGTAGACACATCTCAATTTTAAAAAGGAAAAAGAGTTGAGGGGGTTTGCTCGTTCCCACACAGTTCCAGGATAGCCTAGACGTCAGAGGACCCCCGAGCCTGACCTCCCAAACTTGAATCCTGGCTCCTCTGACTAATAGCTGTATGACCTGAGCAAGTCACTCCACCTCTCTGTGCTTGGGTTTCCTGTCTGTAAGGTGTTGATGATCAAAGCACCTACCTGGGAAGGATATTGGGAGAGCTAAATGGGGTAACAGGGCATTCTTATTCTAAAACATGGAGTCCTTAGAGCTAGTATTCTCAGCATGGGAATTGGGGGGGGCGGGGGCGGGAAGCTGGAAAAAATCCTAGGTATCACAATGGTTTTGGCCGTCCAAGGCTCAACCCTACCCCACAAAATCTTATTCCTTAGTATTTCATTTCTCCCCTTAGGGAGAATTCAAATTGAATTTAATGTTTCTCCTTAGGGAAATAATAATTTTAAAAGTTGATCAACACTGTCTCAGAAGGAAAAATATTAAACATAAGTCTTTAAGGTCAAAAGGCCGAAACCCATTTATAGGTCTAGGTCTGCATTCCACATTTGGAGAAAGAAACCCCAGAATTTTCCTTTGGCTCCATCGGTAGCTTTCCGTCCGCTTTATCACCTGCTTCTCCCACCTCCCCCCGGACACGCAGCCAGCGTGAACACATTCAAATGGAGAGTCAGCCCTGACCAATGTTTCACGGGGACTCTGCGTTTCAAACGCGACATCTTTGATCAGATGAGAGGTAAAGCGTACAATTTAGGCAAATATTAGGTTAATCTCCAGCTCTGAGAAGGGAGAGAGGATGTCAGCTCAGGAGGATGAGAAGACAGACCCACTCCCTTGACAAGAGCTGACTTTTCAGACCAGGGCGAATGGGAAACGTGAAAAGGAACAGTACCATCTCCTGAATGAAGCTGAAAGCAGCTTTGTTCTTAGCACTATCTCTAGCAATCAAAGACCGAGGGGAAATGGCCGGCAGATGGAGAGTCAGCCCGGCACTCAGGTGTTCAAACGTTGATTTAGCGCCCAGCTGTATGTAGCAGGGGCTGGCGGGGCTCTGCCTCAGAGTAAGCACCCAGCATAACTTCGCACACACCTCTGGAGGAGCCGAGAAACAGGAGATGAACAAAGCCAGGGGAAGGACAGGAAGCAGCCAGAGAAAAATATACACAAGTCCCTGATCAAGTTTCTCAGCTCAGCCAGCCGTTTCCTCAATGAAGTACGTTTCCTTTTTCTAGGAGCCTGGTCCAGGAGCCATAGACCATGCAGACTCCAACGAGCAGCACTGCACGCTCCGATCAAAGCAAAGCCACACTGGTCCAGGAGTGTTTGCCATCCAGGGCTAAAAGCAAACAGGGCACTTTTAATTTGCACTTGAGATGGAAACAAAGGGGTAGAGAAAGAAAAGGGAAGTCAAACAAAAGGCTTACTCCCAGAGATCAAAGCTAAGGAAGCCCTAGCTGGCTCCAAACAAAAGAATTTCTTCTTAGAAGTAGCCCGCAGGAATCGCTTCCATAACCAGAGCCCTTGGCTTGAGGCAGCGCTGATTACAGCAGGCAGGATGCGTCTGCTCCGTCAACTTAAGATCCATGTCCATCAGGAAGGCCCAGGACCAAAAAGGCACATGGTAAAATTTGAGGGGGTGACTCTTCAACGAACTTCCCTCTCCCCACTCCAGGCTGCCTGCAGCATTCAGTGAGCTGAAGTTCTGTAGCAAAGAGGGGACCAGAAATCTCAACGACCTGTTAGGTGATGGTTAATTCTATGTGTCAACTCGGCTAAGCCATGGTACTGATACGTGGCTAAATAGCAGGCCATATGTGACTGTGAAGATTTTTTAGATGAGATTAACATTTAAATCAGTAGGCTTTGAGGAAAACAGCCTGCAGCATTCAGTGAGCTGAAGTTCTGTAGCAAAGAGGGGACCAGAAATCTCAACGACCTGTTAGGTGATGGTTAATTCTATGTGTCAACTCAGCTAAGCCATGGTACTGATACGTGGCCAAATAGCAGGCCGTATGTGACTGTGAAGATTTTTTAGATGAGATTAACATTTAAATCAGTAGACTTTGAGGAAAACATTATCCATCTTAATGTGGGTGGGCCTCATCTAATCAGCTGATGGCTTTAGGAGAAAAGACTGAGGTTCCCTGAGGAAGAGGGGATTCTGCCTCCAGACTGCTTTCGGACTCGA